CTGCTGGTACCTACTTAAATCCAAAGGTTTTTCACGCCCCTGTGAGAAGTCCAAGACTTGAGCGCCAGTTCATTCGTTTTGATATTTCATGTCTGTGAATTGGTAGCGAAAAGAAAGTTCAAAAGACATAAAGCGTGTGTGCGGACGTAGAATGCCATAAAATCAAAGACTACTTTGAAAATATTTTGATTGTTATTAAAACAGTTAGTTACACTTTCATTTTCGTAGAGTCAACTTCTTTCAGACTAAAAATAAAAAAAAAAAAAAAAAAAATTTGACATCAAAATAAATGGGAGAAATATTTCTGGGGCCATCAGAAATACGTCTCACATTTTAAATTGTCACCCGGATGGTGTTATTAATGTATCTAAAGTCATATCATTTGTTTGTTTGTTTTTTGTTTTTTTTTACGTACTATCAGTTACATTATGGCTTGTGTTGAGGCCTTGTTAGGGCCAGAAATAAAGCCATCAGAGAGGAATTAAATTAAATATATTAAGCGAAACAGTAATACAAACGAGAGTGTTGCAGAAAGAATATTCTGTTCGACAGAGCTGACTGCTGGAAACTTCTCTCTCCAAAAGGCAGTACCTGCTCCTATTTATAGCTGAGAAAGTCCGTGCATGCTTGGGTAAATTACCATAACTGCTTGGACCTGTGCACACCGTGAATTTGCGGTTGAAACGTTATTTTTAAGACTGGTGAATCTCTAGTTGGAACACAAACAGTTTTCGGGATCATTTCAAGTCGGAATGATGATTTTCCAGGTACAAAACAGATACTGCTATGCGTTTACTGAGCAACATGCAAGTAGCTCGAAAATACAGGGTGCACCAAAAATACGTCTCACATTTTAAATAGTCAACTAGTCAAGCGATTTGCTGGTTATGGATCCGACAACTCCTGCATCGAATGTGGATGTTCTTTAGTCTGGTGAAATTCACCAGCACGTAATGTGAATTTGAAATGTAGCGTTCCACAGAAATTCCAGGATGCAGCCAAACCTGACATCATTTAGTTCTTGATAATGACCGTCATAGTCGAAGCTACTCAAAGAATAAAAGAGGAAATTTGGACATATCATCCAGATTTTTTATTTGGATTTAAAACAAATTAAAAAAAAAAAAAAACAAATAATGAAAAACAGACTAAAATGCAGTTGTGCTGCAGAAATACCCCAGCAATTTTAAGATGTCATTTGTGTGTTGTAAGTGAACATAGTTACGTGTCGATGGTGTCTTCTCCTCACTAATGTTATATAATATTTTCAGTGACCATCAGTTAATATCATGGCTTGGACCGGTGTAAACGTTGCGTTTGCTGTTGAAACTTTTTTTTAAAGACTGGTGAATCTGTAATTGCAACAAAACGTGCTTTTCGGGCTCATTTCATCTTACATCGGAATGATGCTGGTCCGGATAGAAAATCGATACAGTTATATGATGGCAAATTTCAGGTCGACAGATTCAGTGCTTAAATGGAAACCACCTTGAAGACCTCGAAGCACTCGAACTTCCGGATGATGGGAAAATTTAAGAAATCCTCCCCAAAAGTGTATGGCGAATAGAGGTCACCATTTAGAGGATGTCATTTTTAAAAGCAAAAGGAATAAAAACTGTACCCTTCTGTTTAAGCAACAGTGAAATATATATTTTTTAAATAGCAGTTACTTTATGTCAAACCGTTTTGGTGACCTATCTACATAAGAATGAACTTTATAAATACTAACCTGCGAGACTTCCCAAAGATTTGCATAGAGCCACTCTCCAGGAGGTTAGCATCACCCACGCTTATTGAAGTTAAAAAAAAACTATAATATTATATGGTATTGTTACCATAACTTGGATAGAGCTACCTAATCGTTTCAGCTGTTTTATTGTGATCTATCTACATTAGAATGAACACTTCCTCCGTCATAAATACTAACCTTCGAGACTTCCTAAGCAGGCAGTCGGAACGCAGTGTAACCTGATAGTTCGGACGGACAATTCTATCTTTCCGTGTCTTTCTTTCTGGCCCTAACATCCCACAACACAAATTTTAAAAATTTGGAATACATTTCTGCTGTACCCAGTATTAAACTTTTTCATTTATTTGACGGATATTTAGACTTTTAACCAGATATTGAACTCACACTCTTTGAGTCCTGTCACTGGATGTAACTGAAGCCTTTATCCACTGTGCCATGTGTCCTTGAGGGAAAGTTTTGATAAATATGGCGACAAAGATGAGAACAATAATCCGAATAATGTAAATAGTGTACATAATAACTCATCTCAGAAATATAGATAGATATTAAAGAGCCGAAACATTGTAAAAAATATGGTAACAAAGATGAGGACAATAGTCCGAATAATATAAATAGTGCACATAATACCACATCTCAGAAATATAGACAGATACTGAAAGGTCGAAACGTGAAAGAACAAAGATGAGGAAACGTCCGTAATAGTGTACATAAACCTCATCTCAGAAATAAAGACAGGTACTGAATGGCCTAAACGTTTTGATGAATATGGCAACAAAGATGAGGACAATAGTCCGAATAATGTAAATAGTGTATATAATACCTCATCTCAGAAAAACAGATTTTGAAAGAAAGATAAACTGAAAGGCCGAAACGTTGTAAATAATTATGGTAACCTCTGAGATGAAAGGGACAATGAGATCGAATAATGTAAATAGTGTACATAATAGCTCTTCTTAGAAATATAGAGTGATACTGAGTTATTTCTGTCCGCTTGGTATCTTGGGTTCTATGACATGGGATGATATCCTAGTGGAAGAACCCGTCGTTTTGTGAGTACACATAATCAATGAATGGGGAGGACTCTTTTCGAAGTAGTACGACGAGGCCTCCTGGTAGGAAATTTTGTTCACAATAGTGTTAGACAGTATTCCTTGCCAGAATCTACATTACACATTTATAATCGACCTTTCGTCTGTGCATTGCTGTCACATCTATCTGGATCTTGAGAACGTGACGGCGAGTCCCGCACGTGCGTCACTACACACCTGTAGAGACATCCAAGGTTGGTTGTATGTGTATATACAACCGGCTTGCTATGTTCACATGTTTGTCTCTTTGACCGTAATCGAATTCAACAAAGAATAATGACAAATACAAGCCACTCTGATTGGGAAATAGCAAACAATACTATTTCTCACTTCTGCGTCGTATTGTCTTCCTTCGGCTTCGAGAAAGTGAATTGCTATCTTGCTAACTTACGTCGCCGAAAAGGATCCTTACATTCACTGACCGTCCAAAATCTTGAAATCGTCTACAAAATTTAATGTCAAATAAACACCACTCTGTGGAGGATTTCATTTTTAAAACCAAATGATTAAAAACTGTAGCCATTTGTTTAAACAACAGTGAAATATATTTATTTTAATAGCTGTTACCTTGGTCATTTTCCCAGCGTTTAAAATGGCGGAAGTCCTTTTGTCGCCCCCTCTATCTATATACATGAAACAAATACACGAAAACTTCCATTCAGCGATATGTTTAAACATTGTAAATAGTATAAATTACAATGTGTAGTGTTTTCAGGCTCATTTGATATCACGTCGAAATAATGCTGTTCAGAATAGAAAATCGATACTGCTATGGGTTAAACATTTCAGGGCCAGAGGTTCAGCTCTTAAAATAAAGCCACATGGAAGACCTCAAAGCGATGAAACTTTCGAGCGATCTAAAAATATAGAAATAGTCTACAAAATTTATGGCGATTAGAGGCTATAATTTCGAAGATGTCATTTTTAAAACAAAAGAATAAAAACTTTGTTTAAACAACGTCGAGAGATTTGTCTTAATAACAGTTAATTTGTTTTTTTCTTTATTTTTTTTGTCAACGTTTAAAATGTGAGAGGTATTTCTGCCACATACTGTAAGGAACATTTCAATTGTTGAAATTCTGTTCAATTTTACATCTAAAGACAATTGTGATACTATTTAGCTATGATAACTGGCTAACTAATTAAGCATGGAAATTAAAAACGAGAAATACTTAATGTGAGAAAGAGCTATAACGAAAGACATACCGAGCGACATTATTTGTTTTTAACAAAAGAAAAATGGGTTAAAGATTTTATTTTCATTTACGAAAAAAGATATTTTTTTTGCAGAAGACAGAAAATTCGTAAGAGAAGCAGGTTTCGGATTCTATCAGAATTAATTAATGTCATGACGTGACAAGGAAAACAGAATTCTAAGAGATAAACAAAACTGGTCCAAGCATGCGACCGAGAGGGAATTTCAGTGAGACCATCCTGAAAGAATAGCCACTAATTATCTTTCAGAGATATCATTTGGTTTTGGTTCTTGTGTCCAGCGAGGAGACCCATATAATGTATCTCCGGATCTTGACATGAGGAGAGAGGGTCGAGAGGAAGGAATCATTGTTACTACTTGTTCAAACTTTTAACGACAGTCTTTCTGTCACCGAGAACGGGTATCTGGAAATGCGATAATATTGAGACGAGAAAGACAAAGAAATTTAGTCTCCAAATGGAGACGACCTACCCAGTTGATATTTGACTAGAGGTAGTTAATGGGCAGGCGAAAATTTCGCTAATGAATTTCAGGCGATTCCAGATGAAGATAAGAATTTATTGGCCGCAATATATGATTCATGAGAATTCTGGCCGATATAAAAGAAAGAAAGAAAGAAAAGGGAAGATAATTTTCACTGGGCGATAATGTAAACTAATGCTAGTCTAACCACACCCACACTGCCGAGTGTTCATTGGCTGAGTGGTGGCGTGAGTAATGGGCGAAGGTGAACATGTGAGAAAGAAGGGAATCTTGTTGAAGCCCACTGAAAGGATTGGTATGAGATACCAATGTTAGAAAGGAAGAGTTTAGGAGGATAATTCTCCTCCGACCTCTTCTCACAGAAGGGGGAGAACCCATCTAAAACAGAAAGTAATTGACTTCCAAAAATGGGAAGTGATAAATTTTCCTGACGATGAGAATCCATATTGGAGATTTGGAATTATCAAAGAACCCAAGCTACTACAGACCCCAACCCGAGAAAAGGACGCAAAACAACGACGCAGAATACGAGAAAAAGATGCAGAAAAAATGGAAAACAATGCAGAATAAAGCGAAATCGTGGCAGAAGAAAATGAAAAAGATGCAGGAAAAAGCGAAAATGATGTAGAAAAGTAGAAAAGATGGAGAAGAAATAGAAAATGATGCGAACAATAGAGAAAAACGATGCAGATAAAGAGAAAAAGATGCGGTTGAAAGAGAACAAGATGCAGAAAAGAGAGAAAAAATCCAGAAAAAGCGAATAAAGACACGGAAAAAAGAGAAAAAGTTGCAGAAAAAAGAGAAAAAGATGAACCAGAAAAACAGAATAGTTTAAAAAAAAATGGAAGAAAAAAGAAGAAAATAAAATTTGAAAAGAAATCCAAATAAACAAGAATATACAGTAGAGAAATAAAAGAATAGTGACAAGTAAAAAAAAAAAAAACAAATATAAAAAAGAAAGGAAAAGAGAGAGAGAAATAAGCAGGAAAGAGAAAGAAGAAAAAAAATCAAAATCAGGCCGAGACAACGATGAACAAAGCAAAGGAAGAAGGAAGGAGAATGTCAATAGAGAAGAAAAAGATGACAAAAATGAAAATAAAGAAAAAACAGTTAAAGAACTAAAAAGAAAAAAAAAATAAGCGAATAAAAGCGTTAAAGAAAACAGAAAAAAAAGACGAAAAAGGACAGGAAATATTTGCGCGTGTAGCTAACGATTTCATTGGATAAAGGATCAAAACAGTAAACAAATTCAAAAGACGACGTTTTCTGAATGTCATGAAATCAAAATTACAAAACCATAAAGAAATACACGGGGGGAAATGTTTTCATTCGCTGATAATATTCCATCAGACTTGATTAAATATATAAATCCTATTTTTTTTAAATCAGTGAACAGGAAGATATTTTCCCGCCTTCCGATCGACCCAGACAAAGAAATCTACCACCCAACTCTCCAAACATCAAAATAAAATACACTTTTTATTTAGTTTTCAGCGTCTAAGGATGATATATTTTAATACAAATGTTTATTTTAAAAATGGTTATTTTCTTACCCAATATCTATAGTGCAGTTTTTTTTTTAAATCAACAATCAATATCCACAAAGTATGATGCGATAACATCGAAATCTCTAATTAGAGAAAAAAATATTGCGTTTTTCGAAATTACTACCATTAAATGATTGATTTGCAAAAAATACTTGTCACCGTTTTAAATATAGAGGCATAAAGGTGTTTGAATGATAATACATATACTCGGGGATGATTATTTACAAAGTGTTATGGTCCGGTTCCTTGTACCACGTTGATAGTCCAAGGTAGAACCAATAAAGAAGAACTCGAATACGGATATGGAATAACACAAATATATTACAAACAGGAATATATACAAAGAAATAGAAAGTGTTAGTACAAACAATCAGGTTTAGTAGTAATTGTCTGAACACGACTCTGTTTCGGACTGCCCCTGATTCGCTCGCTCTGACTGACTGACTGACAGACTCCTGACGGACTTTACTCCAGACTTCAGACGGCACTCCCTGCTTCCTCTTGAGGCGGGCGCAGTATTTATTATGTATGGAATAGTCCATTATGTTATTATGGGTAAGGTCCCGTAACGTAAAGGAAATGCTTTCTCTCTGTCTGTCTGTCCTCTCTCACTCTCTCGCTATATATATATATATATATATATATATATATATATATATATATATATATATATATATATATATGGTAAAAGACGATAAGCTGTATTATTAGCCGACGTGTTTCGTCCAATATGGCCTTTTTCAAGGCATAAACGAAATGAATTTATTGAAAACAAAGTAACTACCAACAAAATGTCCTTAGCAACTAGAAGAATTTAGAAAACGCTTTTGTATTCAAATTATCAATTGAAATTTACGTGGGGAAATTTTTTTTTGTGTTGAAGGATTCTACCATTTTCTTTTGATTTCTTCATATAGTTGTGTACGTTGACTTAGGCCAGATGCAATTCTGTTAGGAAAGGTGATACTACGGAAAAAACCTGGGCGTAGATAAATATTTGGATAATATTCAATGGCGGCACTCTCGAGGATTTTCCTTCTGAGTGAGTTATTTTCTTTTTTTGTGTGTAGAATTTTAAAATCAAAATTGTGGTTTAATTTATTTCTATGTATCACAATAACTTGCCTTGAAAGTGTCCATATTGGACGAAACACGTCGGCTAATAATACAGTTTATTATTATCTTTTACTATTTATACATATAGTCTTTCTCTACAGGCTAACTCTGATATATTTTTTCATATACATCGCACGAACCGAAACATATATTCAACTGTCAATAAATAGCATAATTTAAAAAAAAGCATTTTTCGGTCTTCATATATTTCGTCTTAGTGTTTGCATATGTATAGGAAAATTGCGCCCTGATGATGACAATTTGAAATTGTTGAAAGAACATGACAACAACTCGAATATAAGGTTCTTATTATTCAAGGAATTGATAGTAAGTTTATGTCCTGTTTATTTGTATAAATTGTTTTTTTTATGATATATATATATATATATATATATATATATATATATATATATATATATATATATATATTATAAATATGTATTTAAGCACTCCCCATTGGTTCTTTCGAATTAAATGACAGATTCTCCGGCAAAGGTGAACACTGATTCGATTTTTTTGATTTTTTTTCGTAATCTGTCTCGAATGTTCAGGCCGGTAGACGAAATAAAATAATAAAAAAAAACTTCAAAAATTAAAGGAGCGTTTTCTCACATATGAGTATCAAATAAAAATTACAATTTAATTAACACCCCCCTATATATATAGCAGAAGTAGCATGTGATGAATTGATAGAGGAGTGAAGTCTTTTGATTCACAAAATGAAAAGTGCTCTTATATATATTTATGAAGTCGTCAAAAAACAAACGTTACGACAGTTTTTTATATGCACAAATCCCTTTCATAAAAAAATAAAATAAAAATAAATAAATCTCCATAGACATGCAAACTAGACGAGGGTTAATACATCTTCCGTTTAAAATTTAGGATTTCCATCTGGTAATGGCAAGGAAACTTTTCGTTCCTTAACTTTCCCCCCCCCTGACTTGACATCTATGAAAGTAACTCTATACTGATACTTATTATTAATACCCAACACTCGCCTACCCAATTTAAACAATTCGCCCTAGCTGTTACCATGGAGATTTTGATTTCAATTTTTAAAACACGTAAATTTCAGATATACGTTATTCCAAAAAAATTTCGCTTGAAGATAGAAACAGAGCTTTTTTTTTTAACTCAATTTAATTTAAATAATTATTTTGAAGTTTTCGGCTCTTGTTTTGAAACATGAGACTTCTTATGTAGCGCTTTGGAATCATATTTTTAAATAAATAATTATAAATATATATATATATGTGTGTGTGTGTGTGTGTGTGTGTGTGTGTGTGTGTGTGTATTGCAAAATTGAAATTAACAGTTCATCTTATATAGGTACTGTTTTATTTCATTTTTCTTGCGCTTTTACAATTTTTTCTTTGATTTATAAAAATGAGTTACTTCACAAACATGGTCATCAAGTAGTGGCCGTGTTCATAGTTGATATTACTGAGTACAAATATTATAAATATAATACCACATTGACATCTATAAAAAAAGTATAAAAAATAAAGGAAGTATTAATAATAAAAGCAGTAAAAGCCGACACACAATAACATCAACTAGGAACATGGCCACAATGTGATGACCGAGTTTTAAAATAAAATATTCCTATATCTCTAGACACATACGTTAAAAAATCCATACATCCACTGAAAAGTGAAATTAAAATAATCCATGATAATGTCTAAAATTATAGCCGAAAACACTCGGACATACAAAATATAGAATCGTCGGAGACTTTCTACATAATTTATTTGCAGAAAACAAAAAAATATAAGAAGACTCGAAAAATTAAATAAAATACTTAACCGAAGAACATTGTCTGTTAAATTGTTGCCCAAATATAAAATTATTATATATAATTTTGGAACACCGTAGATTACCGAAGTTAAGCTACGTCGAACCTGGCCTGCACCAAGATGGGTGACCGCTTAGGAATAATGGGTGCTGTAAGATTGGATGTATGGTGGGGTTGTAATGAATAATGGCTTGAAATTATTAAACGGGTGACCGGATTCTAATTTCCGTTGGGTTCGTTACATTCACTTACGCGCAAATACTCTTGGGAAAGGCATGAACCCACCTTTTCTCACCCTGGCTATGGTTTAATGAATAAGACTTTGAGTATCGCTAAATCATTATTATTGCAAGGTAAAATTAAAAAGAAAAAATTCTTAGGATCTAAAAATATTTTCTGGCTTTAAATAACGTGCCTCAATTTAATAACACTCCGAGAACTGCCATTTAAATCCTCCCCCACCCTGATAATCTTAAGAGGGGCTTCTTTAAGGCCAAGGTAGAATCTGTCTTGCTCTACGGCTCAACAACATGGACACTGTCGAAACACCCAGAAGAATCACGACGGAACATACACAAGGATGTTACAAGTTGAATTGGACATCAGCTGGAAGAAACACCCAACAAAGAAACGCCTGTATGGACACTTTCCTCCTATCTCAGTTTCGCTGAGAGAGAGAGAAGGCTTCGGCTAGCTGGTGACTCCTGGAGAAGTCAGAACTTGTGAGTGACACCTTCCTATGGAACCTATTGCGCGGTTGGAAGACCTCATCACTCCTACATTGACTAACTGGATGTCATCTAGAGGACCTGACGACTGCGATGTCTGACTGAGATTGTTGGAGGTAGCGAACTAGGAGAATCTTAGAAGAATTCTCGCTCTGATGATGATGATGATGATCCGATAACTTTCAAATGAAAATCAGAATGTGCACTTAACAGAGAAAACATATACTTGTGGTAGATCTATGCTTACTGCCAGTATTATTATTGGGAACTAATAGTTATAGTTACAGGCAAACCTGCATGTAAGTGTAACTATCGTCCCGGTAGTAATAACATTAACACATTTGTCTATATTGGCATTACACACTCACTACAACAAATTCTAAGATTATTTGGCACAGATCTAAGAAGTGAGGTCTCTCATAATATCAGTTGCTTTCTCAAGTTTGCTTCCTTTAGACTGTTTGATGAGTTCCGTATATCTGCCAGCTATTGAAAAAATTGAAAACCGGAAATGCTGATCTACAGTCTTTGATTCAAAGACACAGGCCAACATATTCAAGGGAGACAACACTTACATCCATTTTAGATGGCTTCATATCCGGTTTGGGCAACCATCTGTAAACATCGCTCGCATTTCAGACAAAGGGCGGGGTTTGTAAGGCGCCATATCTTCTTTTATCTAATATTGACGCCTTAGTCGAAAATTCTTAATATCGGGTTTATGGGAAATGACTTAAGAAAAAAAAAATGTCTCGAACAAAATGAATAAATAAGTAGACAAACCAACAAACAAAATTAAGAAGATGCAAGATGAGAGGAAATAGGAAAACGTTATAACTATCTACCTAGTTACGTTTTATATATATATATATATATATATATATATATATATATATATATATATATATATATATATATATATATATATTCTCATTATATATATATATATATATATATATATATATATGTGTGTGTGTCTTTGTGTGTGTGTCTTTGTGTGTGTGTATTTTGCATTAGCATTTCATATTTCATATAAGTTTCATTAAAAACGGCTGACAAAGTACTGCGTTTAAGATTTTTATACTTTCCTTGTTAACTGCCATGTTACGTAATTCATAATTGTGTATTTGGGCAGCATGT